TCAACGCGCAACTTGGACAATTTCCGTTAATTTTCCTGTGAAATATGATTATATAATTGTTTTCATTTCCCTTTAAAATTGATTAATACCTTTATGTTGTTCTGAAATATGATTATTTCCTGTTATTTTCCTTTTAAAATGATTTATTCCTGTCATTCATCCTTTGCAAATGATTAATTCCTTTCATTTTCCCTTTAATCTAGGCAGGTAGGGTGTTTTTCCTTCCCTGAATGGTGTTTCCCCTTCCCGGAGGTTTCCCCTTCCTGAAATGGTGCTGTTCCTTCCCGTATAGGTGTTTTCCTTTCCCGTATGGGTGTCTTTCCTTCCCGGAGTGCTTTTCGTTCCCCACCAAGTGTTTTTCCTTCCCTTGTTGATCCTATTGCGCTGGTATAGCGCCAAGTTCTAATACTCGCTAGGTCTTCAATCAATTGAACCTCCGGCGAAATTTCTTCGCGGCCGGTTGTTTTCAAATCTGGTGTCCGTATTTGGAAAGTCACAGCTCGGCGTATTTTCACATAATGTTTTGCTCATCGATGGCTCTTATACCTAGATCCACCCGGTGGACGAAAAAAGTGCCGCTTTCCATTGTGGCCAAAATTTTTGCCACCAGAGTGGAAAATTGCCGTCATCCAAAAAAAAACGCCGCCAGAAAAACAAAACGCCGCATTCCATATATGGGGAAAGATGGTGCATGTCTCCTCCACGCCAGGCTCAAGGATACTCAGTTAGATTCCCCAAGTAACACCAGGTAAAAACCAAACCCCCACACTCACCTCCGCGATAACGTCATCGCAATCCCAAATCCCTGACCGCTCTACGAGTCCCATTGCCAAATTTACCCAACTATACCCAACTTCTGGCACTCAGTGTCATTCTCCAAAGTCATTGCGCAAGCTCTGACAAGTGACCACCCCCTAACAAGAGTTTTTGTGCTCATGTGTATGCGACCATGGTTGACAAATGTTGCCAAAATGATTGCCGGAATTTGCGCCGCCATTACGCGGATTTACACCGCCATTACGTGGATTTACGCCGCCATTTTTTTCCGACAAACTTCGCAAATCTCACGCGCTGCACCATTCAGGGAACGAAAAACCCGCAGCCCGATCTAGGCCTATTGCTAATGAAAAGAACGTGAAAAGTTGCACTCCCAAGTGCTGCCGTTCTGAAAAAGAAACAGCCCTCCTCGATCTCTTGAGATCCGTGTTTGCGAGCAAGGCCCTGATCGTTTTCCCATTTGGATCTGTTGGAGCTTGACGCACACCTCTCATGCTTCGCTATGCGTCATTCCACGTCCAGTGGCTCTGTACCGGCATGGACGATGATCTTTGTGAATCTTCTGTTGTACTATCTTGTACTGGTATCTTCTTTTCCTCCACTGTGTCATGGAGGACATGGCTTCAGACAGCCTCAGAAGCCACGCTCTTGGCCTCAATCTTTTTCACCCTTGAGCCACACGTATAGAGTTGGCGTGGTCTTCGTGGCCTTTGCTATGACATGACATGTCAACTGAATCAATGGGAGGGGGACAACATGTGCACCTCTGCAGAGACAATTCAGGATCCAGCACATGAGCCAACGTAGATAGCATTTAGATGCATTTAGCAACAGTAGCCTTTGCACAGTGCAGCAACAAACGTTTGGTTTGCATGTTGTGGCTGCAAGTGTTAAGTGTTGCAGTACGTGGTGCGGGTGTGCTTGTTCATTGGTAGCAAGGGTTTGGGGTGGAGAAGCGTGCTTTGGGCAATGTGTCTTTTTCTTATCATTGAGGGTTCGGAAGCACACTCTCTCGTCATTGTAACTGCCCCAACCTGACTCTTGGGTTAAAGGGCAAAGAAAGCGTTCAGGTCCCAAAAGTGGGTCGGGGACCATGAGCACTGTACATGGAAAACATGCATTTGTGCAGACCACTAAGGCATTCCCCGAAGGATCAGGGTCCGAAAACTACAGTAAAAGCTGCAAAAGCTGTACAAAGCGTCCCTCACGACAACTCCTCCATGAAAAACATCCACCCCTGATGGACACACCGAACCGCGCGGAGCGGTGAGAGGCCGAAGCCTCGTTCCGGAATCCACCATGGCCCAATGATGCCCGGTGCGTGGGGAAAAGGACCTCCCTCCCAGTAGCGCTTGTTCCAAAACTGAAGGAGAAACGAACTCCAAAGCACTGCCAGTCCAACTTGAAGAGGAGTCGAACCTCAGGCCAACTGTAACGACTCAGGTAAAGCCGGACATGCACCAAGCATCGCAACAGTGAAGTTACGGGCAGGAGCCACCATACCTCCCTTTCGCAGAGCAAATCTGGTCTGGTCCAACCTGAAGGGGAATCGAACCCCAAGCGAAACGCCAGTTCCAACTCACTGGGGGGAATCGAACCACCCGGCATACCCAGAAAGCACCATGCACGGCAAAGGTGATGCCGTCCGCAGCCCCTTGACCAGCACATGGCATCAAGCACAGAGGATTTCTGGAACAGAAACAGGGGCCGAATCTTGATCCAAAATGAAAATGGCTACGGATTCTATTTTGGAAAACGTGTGTTTTGGTTGTTGTTTTTGTGTTGACAAAAAGGATGCTCGCAGAAAGACGTGGTGAAACCCTGTCCGAGCCTCTGGGACCGACCATGGGACCATGACCGGCAATTTTCTTTGCACAGTCTGTATTTGCTTCGCTTGCTTCGCTTGTTTTGCTGGGAAGCACAAGTTTTCAATAGTGTTCAGCTCGTTGGAATTAGTTTGTATCTCCCTCTGAGTCTTTGGCCAGGCTAGAGTGCATATTGACTGCATCTTTCCCTCACCCCAGTCGAATTATCACGTTGTCATGTCTCCGGCCTCACCATCAGCGAAACATTGACCAGAATTGAACAATTGAATATTGAATCAGCACTTACTTGAACAAGGGGTGCAAAAAGCTTTACCTACAGTACTATATTCCGTCTTTCAGAGGGGATGGATTGTTCAAGAACGCATCAGGCGACCGTACTATTGATTGACTGCCTGTTTTGCCATGCCTGAGGCGTCCATCCTGCTGCCGCTCCTAGTGATGTGTTTTTTCTTCTCTCGCGGGATGCTGGTCTCAGCTGTTTTCCTACAAGCGCGAGGCACTGACGGATGAAAAGGAATGAGGGATGGAAATGGAGAGTCTGACGTCAGAGTGACAGAAAGTGCCTCCTGGGAGCGGGCGAAAGCAATTTGAAGATGCTTGAAGACAGGTCTGACAAGCAGCCGGCAAGCAGCTGAGCATTTGGCCTCTACGATGGGTTTCTGTGGGCATCCTGGCCGGACTGGAGTGCCTTCTTGACACGTCATTATAGAATAATTAACCATTGCTTGTCGTGACAAGCGACTGCTAATTGAAGTGCGGCCTGACCTCAAGAGGCTTCTCCAAGCCGAACACTTGACGGGTTTCTGCCGCTTAGGCAAATGGGAGCTTTGTCCGCAAACGCCCTTTGGCTTTGTCAGCGAGTGAAGAAAGTTGCGTCCCTTGAGGGATTGCTGGGCCAAATCCACAAGCAGGTTGCTGTTGCATCAAGGTTGTTCTCAAACGCCGTGTGATTTTCGTAGGGGAAGAGCCAGGTGGTCTCTACTTTCTACGAGTATCGCTGTTGAACACTCAGGTCATCACCTTTTCTGTGGTGACCTACTGCCACACATGAGACAAATGACTTTGCGCATGGAAAAGGTTGTATTAGGAGGTGGTGTACATATTGAATATATATATATATATCCTGAGCAAGGCAACCAAATTCAAAGAGACGTCGTTACCGCAACCCAGCCTGGAACATCAGATACTGTAGTAGCATGGAGCACTTTGAAAAGTGACCAACAGCAACGTCCTTTGCTTGGAGATAGGTGCCAATCATGCGTTGTTGGCCCTTTGATATTGTAGTGTCTAGTGAAGTGTAAGATTTGCTTCCAAGGGCCTTGGCTCAATTTTCTCACCCGAGTGCATTTGCCAAAGATTGCAATGCTTTTGAGAAGAAACACGTTTCTTTGAAGCGGACAGTGTTCATGCAGTTGCGCTAAAAGCAGTCTCAGGACGGTTACTGTAAGTCAAAGAGAGGCCGCAAGGGCAGCTGCAATGTTGCCATAGCCCAAAGTTGGTTTTGAAGGAAACACGGCTTTACTGGAAGCAGACTCCGTCCTTTTGTCGCGAAGGGATTTGTGGCTTCTCCCACTGACACTGATTTGTCCTTCCATGTTCGAAGCAAAGTATTGCTTTTGCACAAACGTGGCAGAGTGTTCTCAACGAAAGCAATCCTTTTTGTGGGTTCTCTAGACTCTGGAAGCACAACAACCACAAGGCCGCGGCCGTATCGATGCCTTCTCTCAGCATGAATACTTCATCATCTTTTGTGACAAACTAGCTGCTGAGGAGCTTGATAGCCCAAGCTTTCTTTTTGGAGATAAAATCAATGCTGGTTGATTCAAACCAGAGTACATGTCTAAAGTAAGGTTTCTGCACAAGGTTGGTGTTTGCTGTCCGCTATTGTGACTGAGCCTCCTGCTAATTCATTTCAGACCTGGCAGGCAGGTTGTTGTCAACCTCAAAGGTGTTAACCTACACTCTCCTGTGCGCTTCATGGGCCTACACTTTGACTGCTTTTCCTTTGTCGGGTTTGACTCTGAACTATCCAAAAACTATGTACAGTATATAGACATGTTTCTTGGGATTGCCAGGCATCAGAGGTGTTGCTGGAGCACATTTGCCATAAATTGAGGACTTGTCAGCTAAAGCAATGGCAACCTTGCCAAAGCCTTGAATGCTATGTAGCGCTTGCTTCTGAACTCTTCGTAGTGATTGGCGGTGTTCTTTCAGGTCCAGTAACATATCGGTTGACAACGGCGCCAATTCAGTCAAGTGTTCATTTTGCCATTGCAGTGCTTGCTTGGCAGCAGCAAAGAGTTGGAGCAATCAATGTAAGCAGGCGATTGTTGTTGCGAATACAAAATATCATAGGCTCACCACAGCATTGAGGGCGTGTTGCCAGGGTGGAGTGACATGGCGCCATCAACTGAACTTGGTTTGAACCATTTCCAGCCGCCGCCAAAAATTGGATGTGTACCTTGGCATGTTTCTGGCGAGAAGCACCAATCCAACAGAAACCGGACATTGTGTTCACGTCCAGCCCTGGTGGTATGACGCAACTCTCCAGGGAGGTAGCATCAGTGATCACAGAAAGGGAGACTGCCATCACAATAAGCTGCTGAGGTGGGCTGGGGATTGGAAGAGCCTCAAGAACAGCGAGAGTCCTTGCTGCTGGACAGCAGCGGTGGCATTGCTTGTTACTTCCAACTGATTGAAGAAAGCTCTAGATGTAAGATGATGCAAGGACAAGGTGCTTTGTGGTGTTTGTTTTGAGAAACAAAATGTTTCCTCGGAATTTAGATCATGAATCAGATTCAGCTCCATGGTCTACCAAAAGTCCTTGAGTTCTGAAGGACCTGCCATCGCCAAAGCAGTGTCGTGAGCGTGAGCAGGAGAGTTCGCTGTTACATGTTCTCTTTTGCAGAGCTTGAAGACAGTACGTAACCTCACAGCAAATGTCTAAAACTTGTTAGTAGTGCATCCTGTGGAAATGCAGTAGTGTTTGGGAGTTCAAGTTTGAGCGCGTGTGGCTGACAAGGGCGCATTTTATGAAGAGCGCAGTATCTCTCCTGAACTGTTTTGAAAGCTCGGTCAAACAAGTGCCAAACACCTTGGTTGATCATGGCATGTGGAAATTCATGCCCAAAACCTGGGAGCCATGCGTGCATTGACTGCAGTGAAATGCTCTGTTTTTTGCACTTAAAAGCTGCCGTGAGGGAAGCCTGGGACTTTTTTTGTCGATTCTAGATGACATTCTCACAGGGTGTCAGGGGAATGCATGCCTGTTCAACTTGTTCAAGCACACAAGCTTGGAGTTCATGTGGCAACCAATGCTTGGGATAGGGTGTCCCTCCCGACGAAGGTTTTAGATGGTGTATTGGAAAGTGAGGGGGCACCGCGAGTGAGATGGTACACAAAGATGCGAAGGATATAATATATATATATATGTGTATACACACAGCGGTCTTGCCATGTCGTGACAACATCGGTTGAATGCGGAGATTGAGGTTCGGACGGGCGTGCAAGCTATGCCGCTCATTAGAACCAAGAACGCCTGCAGAATCTGCACTTGGAGAGCACAGTTGTACAGTGGTGTTTGAAGTCTGTGATTCATTCCGCACCACCCTATGAAACCCAAGTGTCCGGTCAGTAGTTGGCAAAAAAGCAACATGGAACAGGCTTGCTGGTTTGATGTGACCTCGTTGGAAAGGAGTCACATTTGGGCCCACTACAAGGCATTGATCACCTGCAGGAGGCTGAGAAGGCCATTCAAAACGATTGGCGTCAGTGTATATATATGTATACAGACATGTTTTTTGTTGTTTATTATCAGTTATATATTTTTCTATATATATATACACATACTTATATACATTTATAAATAATAAATAGATAATATGAAACATTTTTTACTCTTTTGGCAAACGTATTCGATGCATACTTCATAAAGCCACCCAAGAGTCTTGAGACATCTTGAGACGATGGCAGAGACTAGCTGTAATGAAGAGAGAGAGGTCCAGAGTTGCAGGAAAAGAAAGATAGGTCGCACTTTGAATAGGCTCTGAACCCCCCCCGCTAGAATTCAATTCTGACTGGTCAGACCGGAACGCTCAAGAGCCCCTTGCAAGCAACAGCCAACCGTTCTGAATTCAGCCTTGAAGCGGGCTGGTGTTTTTGTGGGTATCCACACAGTATCCATCAAGCACGAATGTTAGTCGTGAAGAATGCTTCCACCCCACACACAACAGAATCCAGAAGCGATCCGGCCTTTGGGTCATGTTCTAGTCCACGTCAAAGTATGCATTCTTGGACCAGGTGGACCTTGAAGCGCTGAAGGCGCGCGATCCTGCTTTGAAGGAACTCCTTGAGAGTCTTGGAAGCATGGGATGGCGGCATGGCATAGGTCATGTCTTCTTTGACGTGCCGAATTGAAAAACGAGCTTGGAGAAGTCTAAGGGATGACACTTTCGCACTGGCAACACCAGCGGCTATGTCAGCTTTCGAACTCTACAGGCTCGAAAACGACATGGGTTTTGTATTCAGTACTATTCTCTGAAGGAGCCCAGAGTTATGTCAGAAGCATACCCGGAAGCATGCCCCACATGCAATATCCGGCCTGGGAACGTGCAAAAGACGTTGCATAAAGCTCGAAACGTGGGTAAAAACGCATGTTGGTGTTGTGGGTCCCCAACTGTCGTTTTGTTTGTTCGTGATACGATGCTGATACCTGTATTATTCACTTGAGGCTTCGGGCATTCGTGTGGTGAGTCAGTGGTGATTTCTTTCCTTGCTACCTCTATAACAAGCATGTTTTCATACAATGCTCATCCTGGGGCTTGGAGGCTTGGACCACAATCTTCCGATTCACACTTTGCACATCCATGCCCAAGCATGAACTGATTCTGATCAGTGTTCTCCAGCTAGACAATGGGGGAGGCAAGTGGAATTTGCCCAAACTTGGCCCAACACCAATTGAATGACCTTTGGGCTGCCAGGACTAGGAAGGTGAAGGGACATCAGTTCAGCTGCCCAATCTACCCTGGAAAAGGCAAATCATACATACTGTGCAAAATTGTGCCATCACAACCTGGGAGGTGCACCCAGCACGGCATGCACCTCGCAGATGTTGAGGAATGTTCGCAACCAACCACTTCTTCGGTGGAGAGATGTGGAGATCCCTCACCCCTGGATCGAATGCAATCGCTTTTCACGCTCGAACGAAAATCGTGGCCACGGGTTGGTCTCAAGGGCCCTAGGTTTGTAGCCGCTTGTAACTCAAGATTGTGGCATGAAATGATCACACCTACAGGTGAAATCAATTGGAACATGACATGTTGATCATATTGTCACGTTGCGATATTCACACCCGTGGACATGCTTAAATTTGTTGGAATTCGGTGTGCTCTGAAAAATTGTTCTTTGCCCGTCATTTCATCTTGCTTGAACATAGTGTGGAAGCAAAGGGTTGTTGGGAATGAGTCCGAGTTTGCTACCATCTTCCTGCTATGACCACAGCAAACTTGGGCTGAGCCTTTGAGTCACCTCCATTTTTCAATCTTGCCTCCTGCTGCCAGATTGTGATGCTCACATCCTTGAAGAAGTTCAATTTGCTGTTTATCACTTTGTTCCACCTGTTCATCAGAACATTTTTCGGGTGTCAGGATTTCAGCAAGTAACAAGGTTTTTGTACTGTGAAGTTCTCCTGAATTAGCAGATGTCTCAACTGCCAATCCATCTCTCTTCCTTCGCTTCACGCAGTGTTCACCTGTCCGTTCTTCTTGCTCCAAATCATTCCAAATCTTAAGCACCGTTCACACTGGAGCTCCCATCATCGTTCACCGGGACATTCTACTCAGCTGGGTCATTTGCCATCTCGCCATGGCTCAATGGAGTGTCGGCATAGTCAGGAAGGTCGCCACTCTCAAGTTTGGGTTCAGGAACATTCACCATGGTTTAAAACATTTGGACAAATCCGAACAGGTAGTTGGCCTGGTAGTTCAAGAACAGTCCCTACACATTGAAGCAAGTTTCACAATGAACAGCAACAACAACACTGTCAGTCTTCTCCTCGCTGTAGCTACGGCAACCATCCCAGCTTTCCTCCACTCATTTTGTTGAAGCCTTGCTCTGTGTTGATGCTTGTAAAAGTGTTTTGCGACTGCAATGAAAGCTCATTGCCGTGCTGAATGTCAACAGTCTTGTGACAACCTGAGTACAAGCAAGTTCCTTTCTCCTCACCCGCCTCAGCCAACAAGCCATCTCCGATAAGAAGCTTAGCCGCTTCACGGCCTTGTTTTGCAAAGCTTTCTCCTTCTCTTTCTTCTCTTTTATTACATATATACCCTCTTCTTTGCCGCTGAGTATCTTGGTAATATCAACGCTAAAATGGTCCAAGGAAGGGTTCTGCTAAGGCCAACAACCTGTGTTTGGACCAATAGCCCAGCAGATGGAGCTCACACTCGGAGCACAATGCTCTTTGGGATTCCTATGGGATTCCGATGGATTCCCAAAGATGGTGCCGACGAGTGCGCCGCAAGAATTTAGACAAATCTCGTTTGGTGGCTCCTTAGGATGGACCAAAGAATTTATGAACCTTCGCATATGGCTCAAGGTCTTGATGGATCTAGTGGTGTCTATGGAGTTGGCCTGCATAAAAACGCTCTTGACATTTGCCACGAAAGAAGATCATCCATTGGCATTGTCATCCTCTTCCCTATCGTTGACAGTGTGGGTGATTCCTACTCAATCTTTCCCTGCCCGCTGGGATGTTGACCTGGCGCCTGCTGACGCCTAGGGCTGTACTGCCCTCCCTTGCCGCAGCCGTGGACTTCCTGCGCGGCCTTCTGCTCCACCAAAGACATCATCATCCTCAGGTTGATTCATGTTGATTCACTGAAGGTGGAAGTAGTGCAGCCCTACCTTCGGCCCTTGCTCTTACTCTGCAAGCACCTCTTCCTCCCAGTCACCCTGGCGAACATTCTCACATTGCCCTGCACTAGTTAGAAGAAAACAATCTCCATCAACCAGGAGCATCTCCGCCTCCGCCACCTCATCACTCGAGTTCCTGAAGTGTCAAGTGAATAAATGACCTGGATCAAATCCAATCGCTTTTCACACTCGAAGGAAGATGGCAGCCATGGGCTGGTCTCAAGAGCCCTAGGTTTGTAGCTCAAAACAGATTGCTGCGTGAAATGATCACACTGGCTTACTGCAATGGCTTGGTGGAAGAAGCTGTAGAAAGCAACAAGACATGGCAGCAAATCTCGGCCAACAACCCAAACAAGAGACAATGAACAACCCTCGGCGCACATGCGTACGATACGAGAGAGCTTCTCCCAGCTATTTTGGCAGCAACCCCCCCGGAACTATTGTGAACTATTTCCAAATTCATCAAACGCACACACTTATAGAATTGCGTACTGACTTGAAAGCGGTTGCCACACGCCGGCCTGAGTTAAAACACCTGAGATACCAGGAGGACAAGTAGTAAGTTAAAGGCCATCGCTTTTAGGTTGGAGGCCATCGCAACGAAGTTTGGAGGCCGTCGCTAGTAGGTGGTAGGTAGTATGCACAAGCAAAAC